GGGTGATTTGGGCTGGGTAAGAAAATAGCTGCTACCATCGACAGTTGTTACACTTTGATGAAACCGTCAATCACAGATCGGGCAGTGGATCACCACCGCTTAGCTCCCACCTCTAGGAGGGTCTTTCGCTTCCTGATTCCACTAAATGCCCACTGTGGCTGGACGAGCTGACTGCGCTAGGTGGGATGGCAGTGCTCCGGGCTCCTTGTCCGGGGTTCTGGGGAGCCAGCAAGGCTGAAGGGATCTAACAACAAGGGACCTACAGTACCCGGTTCGGACCCCAGACTATACTACCTATAGTACATTCAAGGGCCAGTTTATTTACCGTCGAGGAGTCCTGCGGGGATTATACTCGCCTAGCTTTAGGATTACCAGGCGTCGGAATGCTAGTTGTGCAATTATTTCTAGCGAGCAGGAATTGAGTCTGCTGTAGAAAGGTAGTGAAGGCAGACAGAACAGTTCTGACAGTATTTTGATGCGTTGGTGCGTGTGGTGAAGCCGGATGCTCCTCAATAATTTTTAGTGTTGCTGACGGGTGGAGTAGTACGTATGGCGTGTTCCTTGCTGTTGCCATGCAGCATCAGCAACTCTGCTGTCGAGAGCAAAGTCCTGTACCAGTTGATGGCATTCCTTCGCTCGGCGATAATAAGATAAAATTGCAAACCGCCCACATCCAATGCTGGTATAGGCAATGATAGATAGCTAGGCAGAGAGGACTTCAATGATAAAGGGCACCTATCTGCCTAGATTAGGTAATCACGCCGCGGGTATGGCGAGTAATCGATTTATATCGGAGAGGGGATTATCTGGTAGCCAGTCAGGTAGAGTACCAAACCCAGTGGTTCGCACTGATGGCTGGGATGCCACGTGTGATTCCGTATATAGATCGTTCTACATATAAGCACCGACGTGACAGGCGAGAGGTGATGATTTGCTCCTTACTTATAGCCTGACGCTGTGTTAGTTCATCGGCATCATTAAGAAATGGCAGAGGTTAACTGACCTATCAGAATAATTGCATAGCGAACAATGCTACCTTGCTACCACCCAATTCTGCATATCAATAATAGCAACTAGATAGACCGAGGGCCAAGAAGAATCGACGTGAAGGCTACACAACTGCCCGTATAAACCTAACTGCAACGTTCCATAGACTTTTCTTAATTGTATGACCCTAGATGTCTTACTGTGTATATACTAAAAGATTCCATCATAGAGCTACGCGCTCACTACCTACTAACTAAACCAACTCTAAAAACTAAAGATAGTGGATTTCAAAACCCGCGGTGTAATAATCATCACATGAAAAGCAGGTAGGCGAATTCATGGAAGTACAAACCACCCATAGATGTGGGCACCATGATTAGACTAGGTAGGTAGCTACTAGGTACCAAGGTTAGAAGCTTTCACCGCTCTCACCCTTGATGCACCTAGTGATAATAACCCCGCCATTTGGCTAGCGGATGGCCACTGATAACCCACCTAATTACCTACGCAATACCTCCTACCCACTCGCCCTCGAAAGCAACTAATTCTTTAATCATTTTTTTTTTTTTTGAGAACATCTATTCTCAAATAAAGGTGGCTTGATCTGTTATAAATGCGACCAAAGGCCGAATACCGTCTTGATAGTCCCTCATCAAGACAGAGATCAAGCCCACCCACTGATTACACTGTAAGTGGTGAAAATACCCCGCTTGGCACCAAAATAGACCAGCTTTTGGAATGGCGCGCCCTACTCTCCCTACAGCGGCTAGTGCGCTGCAATATGAGGCTCAGCTAAGCTCAGCCCCCATCGGGATAAAAGCCCACGCGCTAACGCAGGTGATTTCACCCATGGTTGAGGGAGGGAGCCCTTCTGTGTGCGCTGTCGACTTGCTCTTAGCAAAAAGCAGTTAACCGATAAATAAACCCTGAGGGAAAGTACCTATACAGAGCGTGAAACTAGGGCATAATATGGATACCGCTTCAAAGCTTATTCGATGAAGCTAAAACATTAAAAAAGAAACCTTGGAAGCATGCCCCATTATCGAATCTATATTATGAGAGACATATACCCGTATATGAGAACAGCACCCTCCTGCTAGTATCCGAAGTAAGGCTATCCTCAACTTACACTGTCAGCCCCCAACCAGGCAGGTTGTCTCTTGGTGTTCGGTGGTGGCATCTAGACTAGACCGGTTTGGGGGCTATTGACCATGGAGCTGACGGAACCTCAATAGCCGCACGGAGCTGTAAGAATCCGGGGTTCAAGCTAGAAATTCAATGGGGGTCAAGACTCTCGACGTCCGTGTCGACGTCGAGAAGGGAATCTGAATGCGAGCAGGTAGGTATATATAGCTCTCGCGAAGCCGACACCTGCCTGCATATGTCGTATGTCCTCTGTGCCGCCCTCGCTTCCCAACCAAAGAAGAAGGACGTTTCAGGGCCAAGACTAGCTGAGTTTCAAACTTCGAGCTTCGAACACACTACAAACGTGGCATGCTTACGGGCTGGCCCCCAAAGAAGCACGACCGAAGTACCTGGGGAAATTATCCAGTCGGCGTTCCCGCCCTGACGTCGTATCTGATCTGCACACATGCATCAAACCATCCTGCTACTACCCATCGCGGTTGGATCTCAGGTAAGACCCTATCCAGCCTGCTGCGATACCAAATTTCACAACGCTCGCCAAAATTGACTAGGAACGCAATAACAAACACCATGTCCGAAGATTCACAAGACAATATGCATTAGGTACCTGGCGAGGTATCATTTATTTTATCCGGTTATCGCGTTTTCAGCAAGAAAGCACATATCGGTACTGCGCATCTGTTATGACCCTCTGCCCTCCTCAATTTATGTGCCCCCCAACATCCATAGAAAACGTGGTTTTAAACTGGTCCAATGTCGATCTTCCTCGTGCATGAGGCTCTTGCATTCTATAGTCATACATAATCGATCATCAACAGCTCCATCCCCTAAGTCCTACATATATGCTCCCTGTACGGCTGGGTAGCCAATGTTCTCCTTGGTGCCACGGTTGATGTACTGTAATAAGTGTAAGCTTCTCCATGTCTCAGATCTGGTGCATTATTCAGCGGTTACAACATCAGATGCTACCGATATGTGCTTGTCTTATGGGATACGACGCTGCAGCTCAAGAGGGTGTGGGAAATCGTCGCGAACCTCGTATATTCAACCCAGCTAGGCGATTTGCTTCGAATAGTTTGGTTTTTGTAATGGGTTTGAATGATTTAAACTTTTGGTCGCCTTAAAGAATCCCAATAAACCCCAGGGCTACCTATAGATTGGAGATGCATCATTTAGTGAAGCTTGAAATTGGTACTAATAAATTGGCGAATCGCTTGAAACCGCACTTAGTCGTAAGGCATGCTTAAAATATATAATAATTCTTATTTCCAGTTGATCTGTTCTCTTCCCGATAACGTATGTTGATGCTTGCGATTGGGCATTTCGAAACCTTCACGGCAATGTGAATATCACATCTCCATATACGCGTTTGGGAAGCTCCTATCTCGCATATCCAGTCCTGTATTCTACAATTTACGCCTGGTTCAAATACATATAAACGAATATTTGACGTTCTGTAAAGCAATGCCTTCGACTCGACGCTGCAGGGACAAAGCATAATAGCAGCCCGATCGCTTACGCTTCTATCGGTTGACAGGCAAACGTTCCTATCTACCTACCTACGGTACCTGTCATTCACGATTATAGGCTGCTCTAATATTTCTCTTCATATTCCCCTACAAATTCTGTTCTTTCAAGGGTGTCCTGATTGTCTCCTAGTCTCCTCTTTCAAGTCTCTTGGGCTCCAAAATACCGATCACAAGGGTGTCTAGCTGCCCGTGTTTTCTCTTTTCTTTGCAGGTGCATAGGCTTACGGTTCGGCCTCAGACCGGCGATCGTCGGATCACCACTTGTGTTGAATTTACTGGCAGACACTCTAGCATTAGATTCTCAGCCCATATGTATCTATTAGCTACCGGGCTGGTAGTGTCCGAATTAATTGAGGAGGTTATCAGGATTTTCACATCTCATCAAATGATTCGGCTAGATCAGAAGCATAGCCCAGCTAAGAAGTTTCGGATTCTTTCAAGTTGAGTGAACAAGTCATGATTCAATGCCGCAAAGAAAACATCTATAATATAGAACTTAACCTGATTACGCTTAAGTCTAGTTGTTTAAATTATTTCATCATTTGTTGGTGCCTTTAATGCTAGTAGTTAAGTCTAGGAGGCTCGAGAAGATTTCGATATTAGCGTCATCGAGAATAAAAAGCAATTTAGCAGCTGAATATCCTGTCGCTGGCATATGGCAGTGTAGAGAATACATTCTACGTATTAAAGTTCGTTATTAAGAACAGGTCGAGGCGGCCATCCTATTTCAGCATCATAAGCAAGCTGCTTCAATCTTATTGTCACGACGAGAACCAGCTTTCTAAACAGCATAAAAGCAGTATACATGGCCCTGAGTTTCTATATTCACACTTGATGAGTCTCGGCTTTAGCATACAATATGCTTAGACAACAAATTATCGTTCTCTTTAGATTCTCGTATGTGAAATTTCGCGTAGTGCTATATACGTGCTAGTGAACGGCAAGCTCACTATCCGTTCGAGAGCCTGGTATAGGTTGAACATGGAAGGTACTATATAAACTGATTCATAAATAGAAAGACGTAGGGAGGCTAGAGACACTTCGGAAGCCTAGACAAATTGGTAAGGCAGGGTAGATTGTTCGCCCATTGTTTATGACGGACCCGCTCGTGGCAATACATGCTGTGTACCCAAGAGGCGCGTTCTATCTTATGAGGGTAGGTTGACCGGTGAATCTTTCAGAAGGCGTGGTGTGTATATATCGAACATAGTACAAGTTTTCAAGTATGTATACCTATGTTTTGGAAAAGGGGAACTGGCAGAGGGGAGAAAACAGAAGTATCCATCCCCGGTCATAGAGATAGATTAACCATTATCACGCATCGACACATCAACAGTCGCCCGGTTAGCTCAATCGGTAGAGCGTGAGACTCTTAATCTCAAGGTTGCGGGTAAGCGTTCTCGGAAGAAAAAAAATTATCGTCGGCGGATTTGTGACTAACATTAGTTGTTAGGTTCGACCCCCGCATCGGGCTCAATTCCTGATGCCTCTCTGTTAACTGAGCAGCAACCAAACTTTTTTCATCTTCCCCTTTTTTTGTACATTCTATGTTCTTTACATTTCATACGTCCTATTTGATTCGAGGATTATGTTATGCTAGTATGACTGAGCCAGTTGAATTCGCCCGGCTATATTGGGGGAACAATACTCTATTCCCTACGCTCGGGCGATTGAGCCTTGTAAGTCATTATCATAAGAGTGGAATGCTACGGTTCATGACATTCGGTCTTTGACTTTCGTCTAAGGCGATAGGTTGATAGAAATAGGGGTTTAAGAAGCTCTAAACGCAAAGAGTACGTGCGATGTGGAAAGTTGGTTTGAACCCCTGGGCGCGTGTACATGGAGTGAAGATGAGGGTTAGAGGTACTTGGGTCATAGACTTCGGCAATTCATGATTGCGTTTCAAGTATAATAAAGGCACCTATTGGGTTAAATATAATACTATATTAGTTACTATAGAAGAATCTTCGCATGGACAACGAAGAGTGTTCTGATAGCGTGCCGAGTTGCTTGGGCCATGGTGTTCCTGAATCTGTTTGATTATGGGGGTTGAACTGGGACCCTACCTAAGCCTAATGTATAGTAGTCTGAATTTAGCATATATTTCCCCGACACGTCTAGGCTTGCAAAGTATCTGTATCATCATTAATAATCATCATAATAATCATGGCACCAGAAGTTAGGCATGATGTGCTTCTTGAACGCGCCATCGACAATGCAGACGAACACACTCTACGCACGGTCCTGAAGTCTACGTGCCAAGCCTCAGAAGAGTGCCGCAAGGAAGTAACGAAGCAAATGCTCGTATCGCGGAAGCGTGACTTTGTAGAACTATCCGACTCGTCCGACGACGACACCCAAAAGCAAAACAAGAAGCAAAAGAAAGTCGAAGTTATAAGAATATTGAGTTGCGAGAAATGTGACACCCTTTATGAGACATACGAGGTCACGCCCAAGAATAAGACAGCGTGTCAGACGCACACGGGTTAGCCCCCGACCTCCAGCCTCCTATGCTATGTGGATATTGTCACTTACGCTATCGTGTTTGTAGGTGGGCTCACTATCGACGCAGATGTCTCCACAGATGATGATGAGGCTCAGGATGATGTTCGAAGCGCCGAGGTTTGTACGGAGTGGCAGCCTGAAGAGTGGGTAGAAGGGTTTATTTGGAGGTGTTGTGAGAAACTCTTCAATGACACGCCTTGCTTACTGCCCATTCCTAAGAAGGGATAGGTCTCAATTTGGTACGTGAAGTGCCTAACTTTATTTCGCGTAGGCAAGGCTTACCAGTTCATTGATAGATCACTCTACTTGATTAGATCGCGGTTGTTGGACTTTAGGCCGTAGTTGTTGTGAACAGTGGATGGACTTTTGGGTGTGTTAGAAAATGAAGCTTTTAGGGGGATTCCGAAGAGAGGTGTAACTCTGTCAAACTGCATCAATGTAATTTTACTCTGGCACAGGGCCGACATCGGTTTGTTGGAAATTGCAACTGGCGTTTCTTTTTAGGAAACGATGACAACATTGAATAGATGACCTATAAGAAGCAAGCATGACGCAAGGTACATGATTTGCGCAATAGAAAGACGTCTAGGTTACTTACTTTTTAATGATTAGTAAGTTCCTAATCTCTTGTGATAATAGCTTCTTCACGACTGGCTTCTCCCAAGGTCTCGACCCAAGTTGGAAGTGTTGCCTCTAGTTTGGGTAGTATACATTAGGGAGTTAGTCTCCACTTCCTCCTCCTTCCACTTCCACATACATACATATACATGTCTCATATGACCGATCTAGTTCCCAACAAACTTAGTCTGTGTGACCGCCTCTATCTTCATCGCATTCCTCATCCAAGCTGTATCCTCTACCTTAGCACATCAATTGTCCTGGTATCGTACTCTCTACTCCTAATTGTCACGTCTTTCAGCTTGCTTAAATACCCAATCCGTACCGAAGCACTTCTACGAGTCAGCCAAGCGGGGCCACATTGTGTTCGATCAAGTAAGTGCGTGTTGAAAAGCATCTCCTAACAAAAGCTAAACTACCAGGTGAAAGGCTTTGTCTAATTAGGAGCTTCAGCATCACCTCATCAGTTGCCAATTGGCCACACGCTCTATCTAGGGACCTCTCTCGCCTAACCCTACCCCCTGTCTTTATCCCCCTCCCCGAGTTGTCCGGCATCCCGATCCGTGTCGCACAACAGGACCTCAAATCAGAACTCAGGCTTATATCAGGCCAGTTCATTCCATGGTGGACCACCCATGACCTCATAACAATTGCTAGCAGTGTGTCTCATCTAGCTTTGTACCGTCGAGTTTGCGGTGCCTGTGTCCTATTATCTGTCCCCTTGGCCCTAACCGTCATTCTCGGTCCGTCTAGTGGCAGAATACTGGGGTTCATCGCGGGTGCTGGCGGCTCTTGGAAGCCTCCCCCGATCGAATCTGAGAAGGACAGTAAGGCAAAAGGCGAGACCCCGCTAATAACCCCGCGAAAATCGCCGTGGCTCCCAAAACCCGGTCACAATCTGTGGGAGCCTGGCGCTTCGGCGCCAGAGCTGATGATGATCACGTTGATGCGTCTCCCTCTCCAACGACCGACGAGCATTTGATAAAGGAAACGAGACAACCCACAAAGGACGCAGTAGTTCAACAGCCTGCACCCGCCTTAATATACTTGTTCTCTGTAGCGTTTCTGGCTGTTGTCCTGGTAAGTTTTATTTATAAGGCCCGCCCGAGCCGTCTGTATTTCTCTTAGACTCTCGCTAGGGGCTATCTAGGCTGGGCTCCCCGCAGCACGCTGCTGGGTCATATGCATGACATAGGTTCCTCGGCGCAAATGCATGTTGCCCTTGCTGATTGCCCCTCCAAACCAGGTTGCCCAGCTCTTTCTCGTGGATATCAAACTCCAAAATCTTCATATATTCACGTCACATCCTTTCCAGCGGACGTTTTCTTCTCCTCCGGCTGCTATTGTTGAAGGTGCCGTCTGCGAAAGTCCACAGCCGTTTGCGACCTCGCCGCCAATCTCCCCAGCCCTTGCCATGGCGAGTCCTTTGATAGAAGAGACGAAGCGCATCGTTGCGCAGTTCGATTACACGGACGACGATGTGAACAAGGGCGTACAGGAGTTTCTGCGCCAGATGAGTACGACTAACAGAGCCACCTAACATATCTGTTACGCTTGAGTTACCTGTTAATGTTGTTACAGACGAGGGGCTGCGGAAAGACGGTACCAGCTTGAGCCAAATCCCGACCTATGTTACCGGCGTCCCAAACGGCACTGAGAAGGTTCCTGCCCATGTTGCATTCCGTGTATTACACTCGATACTAACAATTCTGTAGGGATTGTACATGGCCGTCGATTTAGGGGGCACCAACTTCCGAGTCTGTTCAGTCCATCTCAATGGCGATACCACCTTCAACCTCACATATAGCAAGGTCGCCATCCCAAGAGAATTGATGGTCGCCAAGACCTCCAAGGAACTATTTGGCTTCCTAGCCAAACAGATCGAGCTCTTCTTGAAAACACATCACGAAGATCATTTCGAGGCACACGTTCGCCGGCGAAAGAATTCGACGGCAGCTGGAGGGTATGAGGAGGAGAATATCTTCCAACTTGGCTTCACATTCAGCTTTCCGGTTCAACAGTTTGGGATCAACAAGGGATCCCTCATAAGGTGGACTAAAGGGTTTGACATTCCCGATGCAATTGGCAAGGATGTTTGCGCTTTATTACAAGAAGAGATCGATCTCCTTCATCTTCCTGTTAAAGTGGCAGCCTTGGTCAATGACACCGTTGGTACCTTGATGGCACGTTCGTACGCATCACCTGGAAAGACTGGCACCCTTATCGGAGCTATATTCGGAACTGGAACAAACGGCGCTTACGTCGAGAAGATCGCAAATCTCCAAAAGTCGGTAGATGGGGACTATGATAAGTCGACTGGCGACATGGTAATCAACACCGAATGGGGATCGTTTGATAACCAGCTCAATGTATTACCCAATACCCCATATGATGCAAAGTTGGATCGGGACAGCGTCAACCCGGGTATACAGATTTTCGAGAAGAGGGTATCTGGAATGTTCTTGGGAGAAATCGTCCGGCTAGCTATTGTCGAACTATACGAGAACCCCCACTTATCTCTATTCAAGGATGCCAACACAAGCACCGGTGATAAGACATCTACTGCGCGAATCGGCGGCGAGTCAGGATTACTCAAGCAATGGGGCCTCGACAGCTCATTGATGTCAATTGCCGTCGCTGATTCTACGCCCGAGCTTTCAAATCTGCGGAAGGAGCTTGACTCCCAGCTCCATATACGCTCTGCTTTAGTCGAAGAGGCGCAGGCTTTCAAGGACATCTCTTATGCCGTCGGTCGCCGAGCCGCAAGGCTCTCGGCTGTGGCCTTGGCCGGCATTGTCATCCAGAGCGGCAAGCTCAAGGAGACCAATGATGAGCCCTTGGACATCGGGGCAGATGGTAGTCTCGTGGAACACTACCCTAAATTCCGAGACATGATCCACGAGGCCTTCAGGAGTATCGAGGGCATCGGCACCGAAGGTGCGGAACGGATTCGCATCGGAATTGCCAGGGACGGCAGTGGTGTTGGCGCCGCGTTGATCGCACTGGTGGCAGCAGGCATGGAGAAGAAGGGCACATAGCGGATGGGCTAGCAGTGCTCAAGAATGAGGTGGTTCAGAAGCCTGCCGGCGAATCAACGATATGACATTTAAGAGATGGGTACGGATATATACGTATAGGGTGTCTGCTTGTGTATAAGCGTGTTTTGACGAATTAACGCAATCATGATTCTGAAGAATTATGTTCATCCCCTACCAGCTTATTTATACGAAACAAACAATGTTACAACGCCTCCTGGTGTCTATATACTTTCAAAGGTCTATTC